TTGGATGTCATTGTCTAAGAGGTCATAATTAGTGACCTTTTTCTCCTTATCTTCCTCTTTTAGCTGGTTTATAGAAATGGCCCTGTATCATTTTCTCAGTCCCTACTTCTCTGCTTTGCAGTCCATCTTGCTCATTGCTACCAGTTATATCTGCCGTGGCCATAACATATTTATACTCAAAAGTAAGCAAACAAATGTCCCCAAAAGTTGAACATCATTTTTCTTTTCTTTTCTTTTTATGTTTGGCCTAGGGAATAAAATCCAGACTATTTAGTCTGGTCTGTAATTCTTGATCTTTTATGAATTCAGGCATTTTATAATCACTGAATCCTCACACATGAGAGATACCATATTAAGAGCGCAAATGCAAGTAATATGTGTTCCTGATCCATGGACCTTGTAGTTGCAATGGAAAGGGAATGGTAGGTAAATGAACAAATAATTGTAGTACAGTTGAGTTCAGCCAAAGAAATTTGTGCAAGTCATGGTGGGTGCACACTCTAAAGATAAATATGCAATTGTCTTTCATTTTTTAAAAGCTTAGAAAGGTTTCTCCCAGGAGGTTGAAAGTTTCAGTGAGGAAGTCAAACTGAATCATATTGAGTGGTTACTAAGAGTTTCTTCAGAAGACAAGGTTAGAAAAAGAACCCTCAAATGGAGGGTGTAGTCTGAAATAGAAAACTGAATTGGGGGGCTGTTAGAAACTTTCTATGTGGAATAGATGTGGTATGACAAGAAACTAAGTTAGAGACAGAATCATATCACAGAGGAGATTTTTTAATGTCAGTGTGGTAGAGGCTCTCCAACAACAGGTTTTTGGGGGTTTTTGTTTGTTTTTTTTATTGCAGGCCACAAAATCATCAATGCTCAGAGCTTACTCCAGGCTCTGTGTTCAGGGGTCACTCAAGTAAGTGTTCAGGGGACCATGGATTGCCAGGGATCAAATGCAGGTTGGCCACATGCAAGGAAAATGCTCTATCCATTATAGTATCACCAGCTTCATCAACCACAGGTTTTAAGCCAGAAAGTACTTGACAAAATTTTTATTTTACAAAAACTCTCTTCTGGCAGATATGAAAGAGGGGCTAATAGAGGACAGGAAGGAGACTGGTTAGGAAAACATTATAAGAGTTTATATGAAAAACAGCCCAAGAAGCAAATTGCAACACACATTTGAAAGAACCTTGTCGCAGAAACTAGATGGACTTGAAATGTTATTTCTGTATGCTCCATGTTACATGTGCATCAAGTGAGTTTGAAGATACAATTAATGTTGACTACCTCCAGATAGGGATTCCATCCTGAATTGTCCAGTGGAGCCCATTTAAAACACAGAGCAGAAAATTTCGCTGACTAAAGTGAGAGAGAGGTAGCAGAAAAAGAATATTCAAAAGAATTGAGAGGGACTTAACCCTCTCTCTCTAGAAAGGGGCCATATGGAAAGCAGAAGAAGAAATATAGCGAAGTCTAGGGGGAAAAGACCAGCCCCTGAAGTGTAGGCAGCAAGAGGACAGTAATTTCAGCCCCAAACTGCAAGGAACTGAATACAGTCAAGGCCTTAGAAAGGACCACAGAACTGCTGACATGTTAATTTCAGCCTGGTGAGATGAAACAGAGGGCCCAAATGAGCCATGCTATACCAGACTCTAAAATACAGAACTGAACGCTAAATTTGCTGCAATTTGTTATGGCAGCAATAGAAAATGAATACACCAGCTGAAAACTTACAGAAAAGAGGACTTAGTGGCCCTGAATATCCAAAAACTATCTGCCCCTCAAACCCAATTAGACTTTCCTGGTGGTCTGGTATTTTGCTTCAGACTTATAACACAGAGATAAAGGCAATGATTGCTCTAAATAATGCTATACTGGGGGAGGTAATAGTAGAATGAATCTCTTCTTCAATCTCACTTCTTGCTGCCCCCTTCTATAACTATGCACCTCCCAAATATACTGGGTCACATGGATTCCTCACTTGTGATTATTCTTAGTTTTGGGAACACATATTAACTCCTTGATTAACATAGTCTTTTAAAGAGTTGATTTGGAAAAGGGATTGCCCAGATTGCAGCATGACCTGGGCAGTCCATTTCCAGGAATGCCCTCGTAGCAGAATGGAATCATTCAATCTACTCTATTGTGCCGGATTTTCTTATCTAATCAACTACTAAGTCCAGGTTATAGGTACTTTCCAAATGTTTAAAACGGGAGAAAAGTCGAACATAAAAAATATATAATTGCCCATAGACACAGCTAGCAGGTGATTTAATTGGTCCTAGGTGCTCCCAAACATATAGCCTCTTCTCTTCATCAGAGAACCATGCTGCCACAAAAAGATCTGTCTTTCTAGTCTTCTCACTTAATAAAGAAAGAAAAATGTTCATAGAGTTATTTCAAGTTGTGGGAGTTTGTGAAGGACTGAGTGGAAGTCACATTCAATGGACAGCTTCCTAGTCTACCAAACCCTTTACTAGCCCCAATGCATGAAGGGAAAACGGAGAGTTTAATAGGACAGCCAAGCTTGGCTGGCCTCTAGATCTTTGCTAACTGCAGAGTAAAGAGTATTTCATTGTCTCTACAACACCAACCCAGGATGACAATAGAGGCAGCAACATTTTCTCCTTGGAAAGAAGTTCTACTGGGACTGAGTTTGTTGACTAATACCTACAAGCTGCATCACTGTGACTAACTCACTCAAATTTCCATGTCTTAGTTTCCTTAAAAGGCAGTTGGATGATAGGAGCAGGAGAGATAGGACAAGAGTTAAGGCACTTGCTTTGGCACTGAGCTAACTCAAGTTCGATCCCTCGTACTGCTGGTTCCCTATATGATCCCCTAAGCATTACCAAGAATGATCCCTGAGCAAGAAGTACACTCTGACGGCAGTTTGTTGTGTCTCCAAGAAGCAAAAACCCAAATGAGATTGAAGCACAATAATATTTTATCAGTAACAGATGTCTGAAGAAAAAAAAAAGATGTCTGATCCCTATTTAGCCCTTTAGCCCTAACAAAAACAAGGTATTTTTCTCAACTGAGTTGGTTTTTATTCTTTATTTGTTTTGTTTTAGAGCCACACCCAGTAGGGCTCAAGGGAAACTCCTGACTCTTGCACCCAGGAATTACTCCTGGAAGGGCTTAGGGGTTCATACAGAATGCCAGGATCAAAGCTGGGTAGTGTGCAAGGCAAGTGTCCTACCTGCTGAACTATCCCTTCATCCCCTTTCTCAACTGAGTTTTACTAAGGCTCTGCTATAGACAACCTATTGTAGGAACTGTGCCTCCGGAGATCTTCCCAATTAAAAGGCAGCTAACGTTTTGCATTTTGCATTTGAGTAAATCTGATTTCTTAAACATTTCCCATTACTTAATCCAGTTTGACAAGCAGCAATGAACTTCCCAGTTACCTCCCTGTGAATAATGCTCTGTTGCATATCTGTGTTGCTGTATGTCACAAAGGAACTCCATAAAGCTAACATATGACCCAGGTGTCAAAATACCATTTCAGGAAATAACTTGGAAATGCATTTTGATCACCAGGACACAATTCATCCTTTCAGCCCAGGAGCCTAGTATTTCCTGTGGCTCACTTGGCTCTGAAAATAGCATCCTAAAGCAACTGCAGAGGAAGTAATTAATTGTGTAAAATAACACAAAGATTTTACCCTGAATTGCAGGATCACCTTTATTCAAATTCTGTCAGGGCTTTTATAAGAGCTATCTTTTCCCATTGTGAGGAAGTCTACACCAGCTATGAAAATGACCCCTGGACTTAACCGCTTCTGCTTTAGAGATGAGAAGGAGAAAGACCCTAATGAGGCATTAAACACAGTCTTTCTCCCCACTCCCTTATCTCCATGAGATTCTAAGACTGGGGAATGTTCTCCTTGTTCTTGGCTTCTTTCTTCCTCCCTTTTACTTTTTCTTTTATAGTGGAGAAATCCTCATTCAGCTACCCCTACCATTCGGCTCACTGACTGAGGTCAGACTGTTTCCTAAGATGTTTAGATGGGAATTATGCTTCAGAGGATGATCTAGAAAAATAAAATGGAAAGAACAGATAAAACAGTGATTATGGGACTTGTTCTTCATGCCCATGTTCTTCCTTGAATATGCATTTTATTTTTATCCAGATGTTTCTTTCTTGCCTGTATTTTCTAGAGAAGCCCGTATTCTCTCTTTGTGCACATACCTCTCTCTCTCTCTCTCTCTCTCTCTCTCTCTCTCTCTCTCCTCTCACATCTTTCTAAATAAGTTTCAATAAAAACTTTCTTGCTTCACAAAAGGAATAGTAATTATGGTAATGAAGTTAGCAGGTAATACAGTGATGTTATATTTGGCGGTAAATTGGTACTCACTGACAACAAGACTCCATTATTCTATAAACACTACTACTAATAACGCTACTCCTGCTGTTACTACTACCAGCACAAATACTAATAATTGCTGTAATAGCAAAATCTCATCTTAATGACTGTACTTTCCATTTGTCAAGTGTCTTTTTAATTTCATTGGACCCTTACAAGTGCATAAACAAGCAGGGAAGCTCTGGTGCTATCACCCCTCACCTTGTTGACACTGGAAGCAGCCAGGCCTCTGAGACAGCATGGATGCCACTCAGACGCATAACACAAGAGTCAGAACTGCATCCATAATTAGGGCTCATTGCTCTACATATCACTCTCAGGCTTTCTATATCACAATCTTTCATGATGGGTTCCTTTTCAGAGACATAAGGGAGAAAACAGTGTCTTGAAAAAGCAAAAGAAAGAAAAGGCACTGAAGTATGATTCTGTAAGCATACTGTTGTTGAACTTCTTCTGTGTGGTCCTGCTTCTGCTGGTAGATGTTGTGTCTGGGTGTGAGGAAGACCACAGGCTTATTTCTCCTGGCTCAGCATTTCTTCTGTGTGCTGTCAGCAAAAAAGGAACAGACAGAGGTGACAGTTTCATTGGAAATCAATTTGCCCAATGCACACGAAATAGCCACAACATGGCACCCAAATGGACCAATTCTCTGCGATTTTCCGCAGAATTACCCTCCATTCACCTTCACAGTCAACTAAGCTTATCTCTTGGAGAAAACAGAGTCCAGAATGTCTGGGTTATACTCAGATGCCAACTCTAACATTTCATGCTGTCCTGTAAGCTTGAAAGACAAATCCAGAAATACAGCCTGTACTGGAGCTGTTAACCATAGCAGTTGATATCAAAGCATCCAGAATCCATCATTAGCACTGTAGCACTGTCCTCCCATTGTTCATCGATTTGCTTGAGTGGGCACCAGTAACATCTCTATTGTGAGACTTGTTGTTACTGTTTTTGGCATATTGAATATGTCAGGGGCAGCTTGCCAGGCTTTGCCGTGCAGGCGAGATACTTTTGGTAGCTTGCTGGGCTCTCTGAGAGGGGCAGAGGAATCAAACCTGCGTTGGCTACATACTAGGCAAACACCCTACCCACTATGCTATCACTCTGGCCATTAGGTATAGAAAATGAGATTCAGGATTAAATTAAGCTAACCCTGTTTTCCAAGGGAAAGTTAATGATTTTGAGAAAAACACAAAAGACTAAATTCTCTTTTCCTTGGAAAGAAATGGCAAAATTTTTAGATATTAATAGCTGGTGCGCTAAGTGTGAAAATCTATAGTACCTTTCATCAAATCAACTAATGAATCATGATGTCTGAATAAAGCTTTAAGTACTTAAAAGAACTTATACTTTCAGGATCTAATTTGGGTTCCACAATTACTCTAGGAAAAACTTATAATACATTGTTGTCTCTACCTTCTTGGTGAAAAAATGTGAAAACATGGTTTATTTAAGGAGACATATGAGTTGGTTATGGAGTTTGCCTTCCTAAAAACTGTCCAGTGGGAAAACTGAGGAAGCCGAGGAAGCTGCGCCCTGCAGCTGCGTGCCCATCTCTCAGCGCCATAGACCGAGGCTGCTGGAACCCAGCGTAGTTTTACTTTGTCCCCGTCCCCCTCTCAGTCCCTGGTCCAACAGGATATTGACCAAAGTCCAGTACGACGAGATAGCCCAGTGCCTAATGTCTGTGCCGCCCACCAGGCAGAGTCTGAGGAAGCTGAAACAGAGGTTCCCCAGTCAATCGCAGGCCACTCTGCTGAGCATCTTCTCCCAGGAGTACCAGAAACATATTAAAAGAACACATGCCAAGCATCATACTTCAGAAGCGATTGAAAGTTATTATCAGAGGTACCTGAGTGGAGTGGTGAAAAATGGAGCTGCCCCAGTGCTCCTGGATCTGGCCAATGAGGTGGACTATGCACCCACATTAATGGCAAGGATTATACTGGAGAGGTTTCTACAGGAACATGAGGAAGCGCCACCCTCCAAGTCTGTTATAAATAGTATGCTACGGGACCCTTCTCAGGTTCCAGATGGAGTTCTCGCAAATCAGGTCTATCAGTGCATTGTGAACGACTGCTGTTATGGCCCGCTGGTGGACTGCATCAAACACGCCATTGGTCATGAGCACGAAGTCCTGCTGCGAGGCTTACTTCTCGAGAAAAATCTCTCCTTTCTGGACGAAGATCAGCTTCGTGCAAAGGGCTATGACAAAACCCCAGATTTTACTTTACAAGTACCAGTTGCTGTGGAAGGGCACATAATTCACTGGATTGAAAGCAAAACCTCATTTGGTGATGAATGTAGCCACCACGCCTACCTGCATGACCAGTTCTGGAGCTACTGGAATAGTTCTTAAAGGTATTTAAAAGGCAAGAAGACGCCTCCCCGATGGAACCGCAGTGACCAGAAGCCTCTACAAGCACAGCTCGAATATGCAGGAACTAGGACTTTTCCTCAAAATTGCCGGGACTACAGCTCCCAGGTAACCTCTGATTCCGGAAGTCACGCCCAGAGCCCAGCCCCCAGCGCCATCTTTACAGCATACAGCCAAAGAGAAGGGCCACATGGAGGGCAAGATCCTCAGCTCCCGGTGGAAAAAAAAAAAACAGGTTCCAAAAAGAACCGAGATCATCGGGAAGTCCCAGATGGGGTAGGTACCACATCCCGCTTCCCCCAGATGGAACCCCGGTGACCAGAAGCCTCTACAAGCACAGCTCGAGTATGCGGGAACTAGGACTTTTCCTCAAAATTGCCGGGACTACAGCTCCCAGGTAACCTCTGATTCCGGAAGTCACGCCCAGAGCCCAGCCCCCAGCGCCATCTTAACAGCATACAGCCAAAGAGAAGGGCCACATGGAGGGCGAGATCCTCAGCTCCCGGAGGAAAAAAAAAAAACAGGTTCCAAAAAGAACCGAGATCATCGGGAAGTCCCAGATGGGGTAGGTACCGCATCCCGCCTCCACCAGATGGAACCCCAGTGACCAGAAGCCTCTACAAGCACAGCTCGAGTATGCGGGAACTAGGACTTTTCCTCAAAACTGCCGGGACTACAGCTCCCACATGGAGGGTGAGATCCTCAGCTCCCGCAGGGAAAAAAAAAAACAGGTTCCAAAAAGAACCGAGATCATTGGGAAGTCCCAGATGGGGTAGGTACCGCATCCCACCTCCACCAGATGGAACCCCGGTGACCAGAAGCCTCTACAAGCACAGCTCGAGTATGCGGGAACTAGGACTTTTCCTCAAAACTGCCGGGACTACAGCTCCCAGGTAACCTCTGATTCCGGAAGTCACGCCCACAGCCCACCCCCCAGCGCCATCTTTACAGCATACAGCCAAAGAGAAGGGCCACATGGAGGGCGAGATCCTCAGCTCCCGGAGGGGAAAAAAAAAACAGGTTCCAAAAAGAGCTGAGATCATCAGGAAGTCCCAGATGGGGTAGGTACCGCATCCCGCCTCCCCCAGATGGAACCCCGGTGACCAGAAGCCTCTACAAGCACAGCTCGAGTATGCGGGAACTAGGACTTTTCCCCAAAACTGCCAGGACTACAGCTCCCAGGTAACCTCTGATTCCGGAAGTCACGCCCACAGCCCACCCCCCAGCGCCATCTTTACAGCATACAGCCAAAGAGAAGGGCCACATGGAGGGCGAGATCCTCAGCTCCCGGAGGAAAAAAAAAACAGGTTCCAAAAAGAGCCGAGATCATCGGGAAGTCCCAGATGGGGTAGGTACCGCATCCCGCCTCCCCCAGATGGAACCCCAGTGACCAGAAGCCTCTATAAGCACAGCTCGAGTATGCAGGAACTAGGACTTTTCCTCAAAACCTCTCTATATACAAAGTATTCAATGGGAAGTAAACCACCCAACGTTTCTTCCTGAAAATCAGAGTTAAGTTTGGAGCACGGCCACAGCCCCAGAAACACAAGGACTTAATGCAGAACACAGCAGCTTGGAGCAGAAAAGTGAATGGACTATGCATTAATCCAGGCCATCATGTCTGCCCGGAGGGGAAAGGGTGTTGCTCCCTTCCGCCCTCCTCCCTCTGGAAAGAAAGATGGCGGCCACATGGGAGCCTTATGGACAGCAGGTATGAGCCGGGGGTGTGGGGGAGATGAAAACCTCATGGAAAGGGGGGCGTTCTGGTCTGTCCTTCACGCCCTACCGAGGTCACCAGTTGCCCCCCGCGAGCGGCTCTCCAGCACAGCCACGGCCCCAGAAGCACAAGGATTTAATGCAGAACCCGACAGCTTGGAGCAGAAAAGTGAATGGACTATGCGTTAATCCAGGCCATCATGTCTGTCCAGAGGGGAAAGGGTGTTGCCCCATTCGCCCTCTCCTCTCTGGAAAGAAAGATGGCGGCCACATGGGAGCCTTGTGGACAGCAGGTATGAGCCGGGGGTGTGGGGGCGACTAAAACCTCATGGGAGGGGGGGCGTTTCGGTCCACCCTTCACGCCCTACTGAGGCCACCAGTTGCCCCCCACGAGCGGCTCTCCAGCACGGCCACAACTCCAGAGCACAGAAACCAATTTCTTAACTATCTGACTTTCAGTAGAAATACTTCCAGGGTCAATAAGTAAAATAGCAGAAATCCAAAACCAACATTTAATTCTTGAACCCAGCTGTAGAAAGCAAATCACTTCACAATGCTTTTTCAGCATGTCTGGTTTGGGGGGGAGGTAAACTCTAAATAATAGTGGTGAATCTTTTATTGAAACAATGAATCTAATCAAAGCAGATAGAGTGTTAACTAGAATTCATCTGCCTCACAGGGACTGGGAGGGGTGGGGGGTGAGGTTTTATTGGGGTTCTTCATGGTAAAAAATAAGTATTGGTAAAGGGAAATGTGTTTGATATTTGCATGACTGAGACCTAAACCTGAAAGCTTTGTAACCTTTCCCACAGTGATTCAATAAATAAATAAATAAAAAGGCAAGAAGAGATAATATTTTTACCTCATCCCAAACTTCTATAGGCATTCACGATAAGCTTTTTCCTCTATAATTGTAGATATGTGTGTGTGTGAGAGAGAGAGAGAAAGAGAGAGAGAGAGAGAGAGAGAGAGAGAGAGAGAGGAGAATAAAAGTGCCTGCCATAGAAGCCGGTGATATGGGGCAGGAGGAAAACTGAGGACATTGGTAGTGGGAAATGTACACTTGTGAAGGGATGAGTGTTGGAACATTATATGACTGAAACCCAATCATGAACAACTTTGTAACTGTATTCATTGTGACTCAACTTAAATAAATAAAAATAAAGTTTTAAAATGAAAAAAAAACTGTCCAGTAGATATTCTCTTCTGTTGACATCCAGTCTGTTTTATGTCATAGGAACTAATTCAATATTCAGCTCCTTGTATTGTATGTAGTTTAATGATTTCTCAAGGTGATAAGACAGGAAATCACATCTCTTACTATGAGTTATTCATTGTCAAATATAATATGGGAAGCCTGGAAGTGTTCTAAATTACACTGAAAGTTTGAAAAGACAGTTCAAAGACAGAGAGCATGCATTACACACACAGGGCCAAGTTGGATCCCTGGCGTTGCCTGATCCTTCACACACTTCCAGGAGTGACCCCCAAAAAATCTGGAAATAGATACCAAGAGAAGCAAGATGTGGCACCAGAACAACAAAATAAATGCACTGACAGAATCAGGGTAAGAGCATGTGAAATAAATTCTAATCATACATCATACAGAGGTAACTATGTACATTATTTTTTTTAAAAAAATGAATCACAATGGAAAACAGTTATAGACTTACAAACTTTCATACTTGTGTTTCAGTCATACAATGATCAAGTACCCATCCCTTAGCCAGTGCCCATTCTCCACCACCAATGATCCCAGTATTCCACCCACCACCCCCACCCTATCCCCTCCACCCAACCCTACCTCTGTGACAGGGCATTCCCTTTAGCTCTCTCTCTCCTTATGGGTGTTGTGGTTTGCAATAGAGGTATTGAATGTCCATCATTTGGTCTATAGTCTACTTTCAGCTCTCATCTCCCATCCTGAGCAGGCCATTTAAGCACCCCGTACTTGGTGGTCCTTCTCTATCTGAGCTGCCATTTCCCCCAGCAAGTGAGGCCGGCTTCACCAAGTCATGGAGCAATCCTCCGGGTATTCATCTCTGCTGTTCTTGGGTATAAGTCACCCATTCTGTTACTTTATATTCCACAAATGAATGCAATCATTCTATGTCTGTCCCTCTCTTTCTGACTCATTTCACTTAACATGATACTCTCCATGATATGTACAATACTCTTGTTCCTCCCATTTTCAGTCCTGTTTCAGGACTTAGTGTGCCATTTTTAAGACTTGGTCATTCTCCCGAATTCCTGAATCTTGAGGTCTTACTCTCTAGCACCACAATCCTACCTTTTAATGCAGACCCTTTATCCATCCTGACTTTTCTATCCTTCTTATTCCTACTTATTCAGTTGTATTATTATTCATACAAGTTCTCTTTAAAAAATCATTCAACGCCTTCCCAATATTTTTGGTTCTGTCCTAGGCCTGCCACAGTGTTTCCTTGCTCTTATTCTCCAGGTTCTTAGTAAATTCCTGACCTTTACTGTCTAACTCAGGGACTCATATTCGATGGGTCCTCATAGGACACCTACCATGCATAGCTATCCAGCCAGAGCTTTCCCTCCCATATTTGGAGAGACAAGTATCTTTATTCTTCATCTTGTGAGGAGAGAAAACACTGAGGCATTTTACATGAACATCTTTCCCCCATTTCAGCATTTCCAAGGCAGAATAAAGTGAGCTGGAGAGCATTCTCCCATTTAAGGATGTTGGTGTGACTGCTTAATAGATTTTGGAGGAGGACTCTGTTGCAATTCTTCATTTCCTTTGTCTCTTGTTGCAGGTTTTCATTAACCTTTAAGGTTGTCTTCATTTTGTGGTTTGCATTTTAAGCATTTTCTGGTTTTGAAACTGCCTGGCAAGTGATTTCTTTTGATCCAACTGCTTCCCCCAATTACTATTATATTTAACTCTTTTGTAAAATAGCAAACTCCACACCCTTCTGTATATCTCAGACCACCATCCCACCCATCTGTGGCCCTTATGGTTCCAGGTTTCATTTAGGAACTGAGCTTCATGCACTTAAGGAAATGATCCACAGATATTATAATTCTGCGTTTCTTGCCAGCTGGGAAGTCTTCTGGTTTCTGAAAGAAGGAAGGAAGGAAGGAAGGAAGGAAGGAAGGAAGGAAGGAAGGAAGGAAGGAAGGAAGAGAGGGAGGGAGGGAGGGAGGGAGGGAGGGAGGGAGGGAGGGAGAGATGGGCAATGATGGATACTTTGGACATCTACCATGTGGTTCTAGAAACATAATGACA